TCAAGAAGATAAAAGCTGAATACAACTGAGTAAAATAGAAGAGAAGACATGTACTTTTTGATTTTATTTTTGTTTTCAAAAACATAAAAACAAGTTAATGTAGACAAGATTATTCTATACAATTTGCACATGAAATATAATCAAAGCAGAGATGGTCAGGCAAGAAAAAAATATCCGGAAATGAGAAATGAGAAGAAAAGTGATAAAAAAAGAGAGGAATAGAAAGAGAAGAATAGATGGAGAAAAGTCTATTCATATTTTTATAACATATCATGAGATTAAAAGATGAGAAAAAAGTCACTGAAAGAAGTAAGTGAGAAGGTGATAAACAAATATACAAAAAAAAAAAAAAAAAAAAAAAAAAAAAAAAAAAAAAAAAAAACTGCCTGTCAACATCACTTTGAATATGTGAAATGAACAATTGCACTCTGTGACAATAAATAAATAGTAAGTAACAAAACATTGTGAAGCAGATGAACAAACAATAATAACAATGAAAGACAATGAAAAACAAAAAAAAGGGATTACAAGTAATGATGAATAGAAGAAGTGAAGAAAAATGGTCCTTTTTTTTCTTTTTATTTTATTTTATTTTCTTTTTTTAACACAGAAAGACTTAAGAAACAAGAAAAAAACAATACCTGAATCCGCAAAACCGGTCCCCCCTCATCGCCAACCAAACCAGCTACCCAGAAATCATTAGACAAAATGTAATGAATAGAGGGAAGATGATATGTAAAAGAAAAAGGACGAAGAAAAAGTATATGTCGTATGTACGTATTATGTACAGATGGAAAAGGTGATTGATGGGGTAGTGAATAGGCCGTGGCAGAGGTGGGCAAAAAAGAACAGAGAGAGAGGAAGAGATGTAATAGTAGAGCATGTAAGACAATGTAAAGAAGAGCAGGAAAGATTCAGGAAAACGGAGGAAAATTAGCCGGTAATGGTTGGACTAGAAGTTCCTGTCGGATCGTATGAGGGAGGGAAGGGGGAGGTCGGTCCCTCTGGTGCTGTCGTGGTGTAGGTGCCCAACAACGCGGGTCCCTCTGGTCGAAATATCGGTGGCGGCAGAGTTAGAAGGCCAAAAAAAAAAAAGGGTAAAAGGTAAGAATATAATAATAGAAGGTAAAATATAAATAAAATAAATAAATGTAAACTCCTTTGTAAATGAAATAAAAAAGCGGTGGCCGCGGTGAGGAAAGTGGGAGAAGAGGGGAGGAGACTTTTTTTCGTCATTTCACTTTGCCTGTGATTTTTTTTTTTTTAATTCAGTAGGGAGGGGAAGGCTGTCTTTGCTGCTACAGTCCTTCCTCGCCAATCCCAGGGAGTCCAGCTCCGGCGACGTTAATATTTTGCCCTTGCATTACCCCACCCACGCCAAGGTTACGACCAGCGGCGAGTTGGAGTTCTGGGTTGCAAGGCGGTGAATGTGATCTGTGGTATTTGAGGCCGTTGAGGTTCTTGTACCGTTTACCGCATACTTCGCAGCGGAATGGCTTTTCTTTCTCCATGCCCAGGGCCCCTGGGTAAGGCGTACATGTTTCTGGATTGACGATTGAGAAGGTTCCGTCCGCATTATCGTGAAGTTGTTGGTTGTTGTGGCCGTGCTATATAATCCGGATGACATGGTTAGAGGAGAGACGAAAAGGGGGGTGGGAATAATAAAAAAAAGGGAGAACATGGTTGAGAAGAATACTTACCGCCTTGTGGTATTTTAGACCATTCTGGTTTTTATATGCTTTCTCGCAACCTATGACTGGGCATCTAAATGGTTTAGGTTCTTCATTCGGTAGCAGCCCAATCGTGTCTGGTACACCTGCACGAAGCTGCTGTTCTCGAATCCGTTGCGCGATTTGGCTGTTAGGTCCGTACGGCTGACTTCCTAGCCTGTTGAGCATATTTTGTTGCTGATTGAACCCGCCAGTCGGGCTAAACAATCGCTTGGCTGGTTCGTCGATACAGAGATTCAGCATGTCATTTCCGCCTCCATAGCCTGGAAATTGTCCTTGGCTTCCAATTAGCGCGTTATTCTGCAACATCGACATGTCTCCAAACTCCCCAATGATCGACTCGTCAATTTCGGCGGGTGTCCCCGGCGTAGAAGAATCTGGCGTGCCACGGTACCCGGAATTTTGTTGTTGCTGTAGCTGGTGTGTGACGAGGGTAGGGGTATTGACTGAGGATACGGTTGGGTTGTTTTGAAGCGGTCTCCCAGGCGTAACGGGGGTGCCTGGCTGGGAATTCCGTAGGCCCTGATGTCCTTGTAGCATACTTAGGTTGAGTGGCGTTAGGCGTCCTTGATTTTGTTGTCCAAATCTACCTTGCATGGGACTATCTCGGGATCGTGGATCTTGGAAAGCATTATCTGCCAAAGGGTCATCCATTTCCATATCTTCAACTGTATCGAGATCGGGAAGGTCGTTTTGAGATCCAAAGCCACCGCGTTGTGTCTGAGGATGTTGTGGCGCCGGGGAGGTCATGTGGTTTGATGTTTGCTGATTTTGATTCGGCCGTGGGGACGATATGCCTCGGTTTTGATTACCACCAATACCAATATTTGATTGCTGATTTTGTTGCCCTTGATTTCGCACGCCTCCCGGCATCCCGGTTCGGTTGTCACCAATGGACATTTGTCCCGTCTGCCCGGTACGTTGTGGTGGTTGTGGTGACTTCTGCGCATGAGCTTCCTCATAATGTTGCAGCAAGTCGTGGAGGGAGGGTAATGTAACGCCACAGCACGCAAAATCTCGCATGAAATTCGCTTCAAGTTTCGGAAGATATGATGAAGAATGATATGAAGGAGACTGTAGTGTGAAGGGGGACGTTCCGGTCATAAGAATACTGTAGCGGTTATATTAGCCCATGGATGGTTTTCTTTGCCCAGTAACGTAAAAGCCGAGGGCCATGAAATTATCTCCAATTTCCATTTAACGAAAATTGGTGGATATGCTACTCCTCGCTATACATAATATAATTCGGGATATGGGAGTCACAATATTGGTAGAAAAGGAAGGGTAAAGAAGAAAAAGAAGAAAAAGAACTTACTCATCTCGAATCCAACTGCCAACGGACACACCTCCCCAGCTCATGCCTCCAACCAAACTACCTGCTAAGCTCTCACGGCGCTGTTTATCTCTGTTGGAGCCAGCCACTGTGATGGGCTTCGTGCCATTTCCCCACTGCGCCATACTTGCGCCAATCGAGTCTTTGCGGGCTGCATTTGATTTATATGCGACGGAAGTGGGAATGGTGGTATTCGAGGCACCAGCAGACTTGTCTATCGTTGAAGCTCGTTGTAGGGCAGAGGTCAAATTCGAAGCCTGCTGGCCAGGCGGGGAGACCGATGTGTTCCGGGATGCGATATTAATGGGGGGAGTTGGGCCCTCCATGGTTCGTCGCTCGGGGAGAGGGGATGAAGGGAAGGTAAGAGCGGAAAAGACGAGTCGTCAAGATCGGGTTCTAGAGAAGTGCGAGTTTGGTAGATAGAGGTATTTGGATGTTCTTCCGGCTTCCGATGCCAGGAGAAATACAAGTCTCGATCCCGCTCAGCGGTACTACGGGACTTTGGGATGGCAGTAAAGCCAACGGGGGTTCCGATGGGAGTGGTTTCACGGGTGGAGGAGCGGTCGAGTTCGCTGGAAGACGGAGAATACTGGAGGGGAGGGGGTGTTCTGAAGACTGGGGCATTAGATAGCGAGATGGGGAGGATGGGATGAAGGGAATTGCGCTGCAACTCTTTGTTGACGACGGCAGAAAAGAGGGACTGGGGTTGTTGTTCGGCGGCGGCGGCGGCGGTGATGGTGGTGATGGTGATGGTGATGAAAGCTATCGAGAGGCGGAGTCCCCGTAACTTTGGGCGAGGTGGAGCGGCTCAGCGAGGGAGGGAAGTATAACTTAATAATATTAGTTATAATAATATTAGTGAGCGGTTAGTTACTCCGTACCTATCTGGTAAATATTTAAGATATTTAATAATAATAATAATAAATACTACTACCGCAACACTCAGGACAACGAAGACAGATAGAAAGAGATATGTTACCCTCTCAACGCTGATAGTCCTAACCTACTAATACCATACCAATAATAATAAATAATACTCCTGTAGTTAATACTCCTGTAATAATAAAGAGTGAGACCGCAGTGGTGGATAGCGAGCGATGATGAAGCCAGCCAGACAGAACAGACAGTCCGTCCCCGATTCAAGATCTTATTTAGGTCGAGTCCCGCCGAGGATCCGCCGACTGTTGGAACGCTCTGCTAACTTGCTAGCCAGCGCCGGACACCCAGACGGTGCATCCTAGCGGTTATGCTGTACGAAGGATGAAACCGGCTCATTTGTTCGATCTGTTCTTCCCCCTTCTTCCCTCCCCTCCCTCCTCCCTCCTCCCATGCTTGGCTGACAGTTTCCTTTGATTCCGAACTCAGGCGGGGAGGCCAATCTCCGCGACGGACGGACCCCCCAACCGGGGAATAAATGGCCTCGAGAGGACATAAATATCAACCTGGCTAACTACTACGATTGTAACGACTATTATTATTAACTGCTTCCTCTTGTCTGGCACTTGGAACCACCGCAGAGTGACCTAATGCAATCTTCCGTTGATATGTCACTGCAACTAGCCCTGTTTATCTGTCTATATATCTATCTTTGTCGCCGGGAAATGCAGCCTTCCTCCAATAAGCCGACAAAACAAACGTCCCTCTTTTGAATTCATGCATTTTCTGTAGTGATTTCGTTAACCCTTCTCGCCACTAATTCTATTTGTAACTTATGCCCGTGAGAAGGAATAGTCTTCGCGGGCCTCCTTGATATTAGTTCCGCGAGCTTTAAATAAATGATATATATATATATATATATATATATATATATCTGTAAACATATCTATATAACAGGCGGTCAAGAAGGGAGCATGTGGCAAACCCGGAAGTCAAAATAGCCCTGTCCCTTCTGGAACGAGTTAGGGAGCAGGCGTGGATCTATGGACGGGGATTAGCCACTTGCTACCAGATTCGATCACTGGGTTCGGTTCTCCTTTGTATGGCCTCGCCAAGTTGTTATTATGCAGGATGCTGATGATGATGCCCTGTCAGCACCTATCGGAAATCCTACCTCAGGCTAGGCGGGCGCCTACCATATACCTAGATAGGTAATAATATATCATCTTTCTCTCTTTTTGACCATTATGGCCTAGTAAACATCCTGCTGAATCCCCCAAACGTCATTCCAGCTAAAAGACAAAAGTGAAACAAAATCACCTGCAGGACCTTATTTATCGCGGGAGAGTCATCGCGCGAGGGTTCAATCTGTTCCTCATCCATCCCCCCCCCCTCCCCCCATCCGCTGCGATCCTCTTGAGGGTTTAATTCAATGGGTGTCTCGGGACGCCAAACAGTGGCAGCAGGCCTCGCCCTAGGCCTCGCCCTCTATGGTGTCGGCAAACATCGAGACCATTCGCCTCCATATAGCTCACAATCCATCTCTCCTAGTTGTGAGGGGAATGCCTCGCCTGTTTTCGGCCTACTTGACCAGTAGCTCCACGTGCTGGTGAAGTTTAACAGTCCGGGTTGAGGGTCTTGTGGATTCAATAGAGGAATTCTGGGATTCTGTCATTCTTGCGGTATGAGAGTTAAAAAAAAAAATACTTCTTCAGGGTGTTATTCTCGTTGCTGCACTGTTATCAAATGAGATGCGTCTTGATTATGCAGTACTTGAGTGTAAACACACTCTCTCCTCTCGGAGCAAAGAAGGCATTGCAGAATCCTCAATGCAAAACCAAATAGAGCAAGATATGGTTTAAGCCTTGAGTGATATTATTCGAGGGGCGAAAAGACTGAAGGAGAGACTCAAGGGCTGAAAAGTGGAAACTTTGCCACGGATCTCCTTTTCTGCCTTGGGAGCAAGCAAGCAACAAACAAAAACTTAACAATCCCAGGTAGTTATTGGTTATCAGTAGATTTGCAGAGGAACTCTAGTACGAGAGGCACCCAGTCTTGTCCCTGTGTAATCTTCACGCATTCTCTTTTTCACCTGGGCCTCAAATTCAGTAAGTTGTAGAAATTGCAAATGCTCCTCCAGCTTCGCGTGGAATCCCTCGCGTCCGGCTGCTGGGAGAAAGTTTCGCCGCTCCCTCGCCGGCTTTCACACACCACAACCCACCAACGGCACAAGCACGGAGGCAGATCTTGAATCGCCCCAGCTGAGTAGAGCGTGGGGTTGTAGATTAGAAACGAAGAAACGAACCAACTGGACTGTCCTACTCTTCAGATAGTAACTAGCTGTTAATCCGTTGACAGGCAGAACGCAGCCCTTCGGAAAATGGATCCAGGTTCGAATAACCAGGCGGAAATCGCCAGCGGGGGAGTTGTTGGCAAACCGAACGGCCATGCCCGCGTTGAAGAATTTGAAGAATCGCCGGCGAAAAGGATAAAGTTAGATGGGCAACCGGTTTCTGATCCACAGACGGCTGCGAAGAGCGGAGTTGAAAGGAAGAAAGGTGTTGCGCCGATTAAAAAAGAGTGAGTTTCTTTTTTCTTTCTTTTTTTTTTTTTACGACTAGTTACCAATCAAACCAACGGAATTGATTGCATTTTATCCCGTCATCTCTACGGCATACCAGTTATTGCTGCTAACAAATATTTTGAAAAGGTACCTCATCGAGGTTTCTCCAGGTGCGGCCCAAGCTTCCCCGAGGGCTATCCCGGATGATGATGCTGCGGAAGCCGCCAAGCATCACGAGCAAGAGGGCAACAGTGGCAGGCAAAAAGGAGGTAAACGTGAGAAGAAAGGTGGACAGAATACCAAACGTACATTCGGGCGCTCTCAGGACGCGAAGCAACTTTGCCAAACCGTTGCCTATCATTCTGAATTCTCTCCGAAGCCATGTCCCTGGGGCAAGTCCTGCAAATTCGAACACGACATCCGCAAATACCTGAAAGACTACAAGAGAGCCGACTTGGATACTTTTGGCGGTGTTTGCCCCGTATGGGGAGCCAAAGGAAGATGTCCTGCTGGTTGGAAGTGCCGATTTGTGGGGTCACATATGGCTGAGCGGGAGACGGAGGATGGGAGGAAAGAGTTAGTGTTGGTTGAAGATGCGTCTCGCATGAAAAACCCGACGTCAGAGAACGGAATTGGAATCGATGGAGCGGTTAACGTTGTTTCGACAGAGGATAAGCTTGCCTTGGCGAAGAAGAGATACAAAACTCCCAAAGCTGATTCCTACACAACTTGGATCGACACGGTCTCCAGAGAAGTCGAGAAAAAACTCCATGGGCGAAACCAGGACGACACTGCCTCTGTCCCCGACAAGACTGATGGTCAGGGAGCTTTTGATATCAAGGATGAAAAGGAAGATAACAGAGCGCAATATACAGAACCTCCCTTCCTACCATCTGAAAAAAGACGAGTCTACTTTGGCCCGGAGACCCCTGTCCTGGCTCCGCTCACAACGCAAGGCAATTTACCCTTCAGACGTCTCTGTGTTGATCTTGGCGCACAGCTCACCTATTCGGAAATGGCCATGAGCATGAGCCTGGTGCAAGGCTCGAAGTCTGAGTGGGCGCTTATGAAGGCGCATGAGTCAGAGATATTGCCTCCAACAGTCAACCCACAGCAGACCATCGTGAAAGACTATGACAATTCTCGTGATCTGAAATTCGGCGTTCAGATTACGGGGAACAAACCGTGGGTTGCGCTAAGAGCCACTGAAGCCTTAACCGCGCTATGCCCGCACCTACGTGTCATCGATATGAACTGTGGATGCCCGATTGACATGGTTTTCAGAGAAGGTTCAGGCTCTGCGCTACTCGACCATGCCTCGAAACTGGAAAAGATGCTGCGCGGAATGAACGCTGTGTCTGGAGAGATCCCCATCACTGCGAAGATCCGAATGGGGACCAAAGATTCAAACCCTACGGCTACAAAACTAGTCGAGAGGTTAATTTGTGGCGGTGTCGAGTCTCATGAAATTGGCCAGGGCCCTGCTGGCGTTGCCGCGATCACATTGCATGGCCGTAGTCGTCAGCAGCGATACTCGCGCCAGGCGGACTGGGAGTATATCTCCCAGTGTGCCGCGTTGGTTAAACGACTCAACGAACAAACCGATATCGCAATCGATACCATTAAGGAGCCAGATGCACGATACCAGCCCGCTGCGGGTAAAGTGTTCTTCCTCGGGAACGGCGACTGTTACTCCCACGAAGACTACTTCAACGGGATTCAAAAGTCGGGCGTCGACACTGTCATGGTGGCCCGTGGCGCGCTGATGAAGCCGTGGATTTTCGAGGAAGTCGAAAAGGGCCAATATCTTGACAAGTCTGCGACTGAGAGGCTCGCGCTCGTGGAGAAGTTTGCAAAGTATGGCCTTGAGGCGTGGGGGTCTGATGAATACGGCATTGGAAACACGCGCCGCTTCTTGCTTGAATATCTAAGTTTCACGCATCGATATATACCCGTGGGCCTACTGGAGTACCTTCCCCCGAGCATCCAGGACCGCCCGCCCGCCTGGAAAGGTCGCAATGAGTTGGAAACTCTTCTTGGAAGTGATAATTATAAGGATTGGATTAAGATTTCGTAAGTGCAGCTATTTTTTATTTATTTATTTTTTATTTTTTTGGGAAGTGGTATTTTGCTAATTGTATGCGCCATTTTACAGAGAAATGTTCTTGGGTCCAGCTCATAAAGATTTCAAATTCGAGCCAAAGCATAAGTCGAATAGCTACGAGATTGTTGCGGAGGGTTGATTAGCAGTAAGAGAAAGCTACTCGCCTTGGAGTTATTGTAATAGAGCCAGCATCATACGGGCATTGGAAAGCCCATAACAATATATACAATTGCATATTTTCGAGACGGAATACTTCGTAAATAAAAAGTTCTGGCTACGTTTCCCTTCATTAAAATACAATAAAAATAGAATCCAACCAATTATGGCATATCCATTCACTTTTTATAATCTGGCAGCCTGTTTGCCAGAATCGATACAGCACCAAAATAGGGCAAGCGAAAGTCACATGGAGCCGCCAAATCCAGTGTCAACAACAAACCAACCACGATGACGTCTGTTTTCCCTCCAAGCTTGTTTTGCGGTCAAAAAACTCCAACTGCAACCATTCCACCCTACTCACCAGCCACTAACAACAGACACAGATAAAAGGAACCTCCCTCGTTCTATCTCGGGACTTTGAGTCCTTCTGTAAGAAGCAGTTCTGTCTTTACCCCGTTTCCTCCTCCGCTCATCGTGTTTTGGTGAAACAAGCTAACGACAACCGAAAAAGAAAACAACAGAAAACAACAGCTTGCCCGTAAAGCGAGCTCTGGCTGTTCAAGGCAAAACTGTGTACTACCCATTGAAGGAACCGCAACGATGACGCTCTATTATAGTCTTGTACGTATTTGCTCGACGCGATCGACCTATTTGGGCAGCGCATCCCATCCGCTATCCTCAGGAGTGCTCACGCAAGATCTGGGAAGTTATTATGTTGCAAACGAGTGCTAATAAGAATATTTGGTTCTCTGCTATAGGTTTTCCTTCTCCTGGTGGTGGAGATGGTCATCTTTGTTGGCCTCATCATCCCTCTTCCTTTCACCGTAAAAAGGAAACTCTTCACCTTCATATCTGAAAGCCCAGTTATTGCGAAGCTCCAGTATGGCATGAAAGTAGGTCTTTATATATATCCGCTGCCAATTCTTCACCTCAACGAGAGTATAAGGCGCTGACATACTTGGTGCTTCACAAGATTACGTTTATCTTCATCCTTATCCTATTCATCGATAGCGTTAATCGGGTCTACCGCGTTCAAACCGAGCTATCCACACACTCAAAGGAAATGGGCGGAGCCGGGTATGTCAATATATCGTCCTTCAAACCCACACCCTTTCCCACTAACCCAGATCTCCCCAACCAAAAATCTCCTGACTAAACACCACTCTTTTCTCCGCAAGGCGCAGAACTGCCGCCCTAGGCGCCGAACGGATGGAGGTCCAAGCCCGCAAATTCTACTCTCAGCGCAACATGTATCTCTGCGGCTTTACCCTCTTCCTTTCCCTCATCCTCAATCGCACCTACACAATGATCCTTGAAGTGCTGCGTCTGGAGGACAAAGTGAAACAACTGCAAGGCGACAAACAGGCTGGCGGCAAGGCATCGGCCAAATTGGCAGAGGCCGGCGATGCTGGTGAAATTGGCCGTCTACGCAAGGAACTTGCGGCTCGTGAGAAGGATATTGAAGCGCTGAAGAAACAGTCTGAGGGCTTGTCGAGGGAATATGAAAAGTTGGGCGATCAGCTCTCAAGCCAGAACCCCGATTCAACGCCCAAGAAGGAGCGGTAAATGGCAGTGGGAGGTCAGGTGGCTTTTGCCATTCGTTGGCGGCTCTTGGAAGAGAAGAAAAAGATATCGAAATCCCACCAACGTGATGGAAAAGTGGGTGGGTGATATGAATTGGTTTCAGAGAGGCTGATGTTTTCCCGACGGACTATAATGCCTAGGTCATCCTAGTGTGTGCGTTTCGTGAACTTGGTAATGGTAGTGAAATGTGCAAAGGTTCCGAATAGAAACGGGAGTGTGGATTTGGGTAGTTTCCACTTTTAATTTTTGAAATATGTATATGCAGCGATTGGATGTTTATCGTCCCTCTTTATACTTATGGAGGCGTGTAATAGGATCCCATGGCGGAGATATCATTAAGAATATTTCTTCGCACAAATCACAGTTCTTATTTTCTTGACCTGGAGTTACTATTCCATTCCATCAATACCTTCCCCAGCTTACCATTTGAAACTCGTAATTAGTTAATACACCTTCAATGCGTTCCCAGTGCAAATCTGGGAAACAAGTTTGAATTGGGGAGGGTATAAAATGTGGTATATAATATCAATCCGTCATCGAACAGTCATCGCAGTGCAAAGGTAGAGAGAAGCCTTAAACAAGAAAAGTCCAGAAACTCGGGTATACAAATTCCTCCTCGAAAATCCGGCGCACCTGCTCAAGCACAAACTTCTCTACTTTGCCCACATTCTTGAGCGCCTGCTTCCCATTCTCCTTTCTGCCAATTTCGCTTTCCACTCTGATCTCACGCAGCAGGCTAAGAGGTTTACGCCGTGGAGAGTTTGGTTCCAACGTGTCCTCTCCGCCACCACTGCCGATTTCCGGTCCGATTAACGCGTCTGCATCCTCCGGGGAGAGAAAGCAGAAGTGTATTCGTCGTCGAATATACGCAATGACTGCTACGGCGTCGAAGGTGAGGCCTGTAATGTTCAGTTTTAAGGGTAGGCCGACGAAGCTGGGCATTGGGTAGTCAAGGAGTATCTCTGCGGTTAACGAAAGACTGATATTGCCTGCGTATTTCGTCCGACAAAAGACTTGGAAATCCTCGGCTTTTTGTTCGCGCATTCGTCGAGGGGGGAGATCGTCAAGCGGAGGATCGGACGATGTCGGTGGCATGTTGGGTTCAAGCACTTGCCCATGATCACTGCCTGGCACTCCTTGTGAATGATGGGAGTGGCGCGGATCACCGCTGCTCATTGAGCCGCGGGAAAGCAGTGTGTTCCCAGTATTCGCAGTGGACGGTCGAGATTGGGCGGAGTCAGGTTCGACTTCTGATCTGCGGCGAGACGGTCTTGCTCCATGCACATCCGGCCATCCGCCAGAGAAAGGGCTGCCGCGCGCCACAGTACCAAGCGGCGTCTGTGAGCCCGAAAGTCCACTCAGCGGCATGTAGTATCCTAAGTTCGAGGTGCCCCCTGGTATACCTGGTGTTCTAGATCTCGGAAATAGGTACGGGTTTATATCTCCGAAATTCATGGGGGACCGAAGCGGGGAGATCCCGGTATTTTCCTCTCCCGGGGGCATTCGTAACGGTCCGTTGAAGCCCATCCTGCCTTGCATGTGGTCTTCAAGGCTGCCTGGAGAATTTGCCTGCCAGGACTCTACCTTGCTCCCATATCTATCAACCGGTTCCCGCGTTGGAGACTGCTCCTCCGAGCTCTCTGAGAAATTTTCGTTGTCATCCTCCTCGTAGAAATCCGGGAATGGGTCGCAGAGATCGCGGATTTCAAGCTCTGGGGGTATCGTACCGAAATTGAAGGAAGTAACTTGCACTGAGCGGATGAATCTGGGAAGAACTATCTGTTGGAATTTATCATGTATGAATGAGCGGATGCGCTCCGCCAGAAGCTCGCCGTCTGGGCCAGAGGTGGCACGCTCCCAGTCAATATCTATGGACATCACCTAAATCTGTCCATACGGAAAGTTCTGACAATGTCAGGGTCACCGTGCATGCTCGTACGGATTGCCGGACACGCAGGTGCGAAGCATCGATAGGTTCTGAATTTCTTTTTGCTTTGAACTGCGCCCAACAATTTGACGAGGTTTGGACCATGTCGTCATAACTAGTTATCACGTGCAAATATATGCTGAGTCATCCAAGGATCTGACATCAAGTCCATTTTCCTCCTGGGCTTCTGCGTTCTTGAACCAGACGGCCTGAGAACCACCTTCATTCTGTTAGGACGATGTCGATTGAACGGAATGTTCGGGAATGCCGCCAACCCAAGCTGTTAAGGCTGAGGCCCGACCGCATTTCTTTGCTCTGAATGTCTACAGTTGGGCAGACGAGAAATATGCCCAGGCACCACCTCTGAGGATTCCGAATGCATCGAGCAAAAAGAACCTCGAAACTACATAGTACGAGCACCAAGATTTTCGGTCTGGGCATGACGCCACTGTTAATAAGAAGGCTTCACGGCTAGAAGTACTCCGTGGGATTTGAAACCCGGCTCTGAGCTTTTTTGTTTACCCTCGAGCCTCAAGGTATGCACGGCAAAAGTTGGCATGTAGCTTGACCGTTCAACAACTGGGCCTGGAGCTACCCAGCACATTCGCCGCATCTTTACTAAGCCAGTGGCCCAGTGGGGGTGCCTGCCGCTAGCACATACCATTTTTGATCGCGCAACGTCAGCCTTGACTTCAAAATTAGGATTCTGATGTATCATAAAATCAGTTTCGACTGTTGATCTTTTGGACAATCGTCGTTAGCTCTTATGACGCCATGATTCTCACGATTGCCTTCCGGTTCGGCCCAAATTTCCCTTTTTCGATTGTGGGCGATCGCTCCACGTCTTCACAGGCGTTGCATGCATCAACGAGAAGAGCTCTATCGTGGGCCGTCGGAGTGGCCGCTCTGAGTGGGCGGGTTTGGAAGACACATTGACACGGGCATCATCGCATCGGAGAATTTTTTCACTCGCTTGGCTTGCAGATGCCCAAACGATTTAGCGACTGGATGCGCAGCTCAGTGAGATCTTAAACTTGCATCATTTGCACACTCTGGTGATCCTCTGTTGAATGTTGAATCACGCAGGCTGGAACACTGGCGCTGGTGAGCTAACTATGGTGGCTATCCACAGAACGGCTTACATTATGGTTGCTAAAAGTTCACTATCCCACCATGCATCTGTATCACCAACTGGCGGAGAAGATCACATTTGAGTTAACGCCGAAGATTTATATCTGAGCCGCTTAACTATCATCTATGTATGTACTGTACGGAGTCCGTGGGGCATTGTCAGTAATGACTAAGGCAGGTGGGTCTCCTTCTAATTCTCACCAGAACCGGCCATTCAACAATCAATCGGGCCGGGCGGCAAAGATATTTATCTCCCCTGCTCAAATCGGCTTCTGAACCAGTTCGCGGAGTAAACTAAGGAAGGGCCATCTATCAGGCATTTACTAAACACACCTGTGAAGCAATATTGCTTTTGTGCTTATCCCCCTGTGGCCTCCCCAAGCTGAGTCTTTGAGACAGAGCTTGTAACTGGATCCTACTATACTCACGTGACTTACTTTCTATGCTGGTTTTGATGCAGGGTGTCGTTGGTTGACCGCCCGTCGACCAAAGCATCCGGCCTGCCAAAACAGCCTCGAACTGAATTGAGCGACTAGACGCGGTGCTCTCCAAAGATATCGTTGGGTTAGAGACTGCTATGTGGATCGTGGAATTCAAACTACTCCTCGCTCAGCGCTTATTGCATCCTGCTTCTACAACCAACCCTTCTTTCGCCCGAATTTATCTTGTCCTTGACGACCTCGATTTTTTTTTTTTTTTTTTTTTTTTTTTTTTTTTTTTTTTTTTTTTTTTACCTTCAATAGAACCCACATATTCATCATTTGCCGCAATTCTGTTACCACCTGCATATCGCTCTGTTTCAAACGTCCTTTGTCACAATTTATCTTATTTCACACGATCGGCAGATTGGGACGTGTGTCTTTGAGGATTCAGGAGGAGACCTGAATATTCCACATAACACCTTGCATTGATATTGCTGAGAAAAACAGTGGAAACTTAGAGAAAAGTATACCTCTATTGGGGGGGATTTGGCAAGAAGTATCAAGCTAGCGTTGTGAGCGCAACATGTCATCATATCCGGATTGAAGATACTCTACACCTGTCTGTTTCTCTACCCCAGCGCAAACGGGGTATTTGAGTTTTTGTGAGAACCTTATGCTCAAAACAGGGAAGCTGTACCTAAGCGTACTATTTGCAATCGAGAAATAAGCTCATGTACTATCATGTATTACCTAAATTGAGTATCTAGATTCAACAAGGGTTCAATCTTGAATGCCGCCTTTAATTATAGCTGCATTAAAACTAGAAAATTCCCAGGTTCTCCTCAGCCCGGAGAGGGTATAACCACATTCGGGAACCATTTCCGGAGCTGTCATGAATGTCATGAATACGAGCTGGCAGGCGTGAAATCGCGCAGATATACACTGTCAAGATGGCGACGATCATTGATATCTTGCCCTATCCGGCGTTTCTCTGCAAGCTCTGATGCATCACTTACTGCGAAATAACCTTATTTTCCTCCTACGTCCCTACCCACATGGTCCATAGCAGGGTATTCCTCTCACTGAGAATGCTTCTGGTTTAGCAATTGCCGTTCCAGCCAATGAATTAGCTAACGGACTGGACGGAACTACAGAGTACAGAAGGCTGATTGATATGCGACCACATCCGGACATGAAATAGAATAACCGCCAAGCGATTCAACACGAAGCTCCCAGCTTATATTCTCACATGTCTTTGCTTTTTTTTGTGCTGGATGTTGGGCAGCAGGGAGAGGAAAACAGAATTCACGGAGGGAGAGAGAGGAAATACAGGCTAAAATTAACTAAAACAAGACAAAATAAGCGGTTCGAAATCCCTTTGAAGATTGTGGCCTCTCAGAGGTCGCTTCATGAGATTTCATGAAATATCTAAAACCCAACATCCTACGGCGTATATTCGTTGAAGTTGCTACTAAACATAGCTGTGCCGCAAGATCTACGTGCAGGCCACTTAACAGGCCACCGACCGGAGGCCGACCGCCGGCCGAGACTCTGTGGTGAGTTGAATTGCCGCAAACTTTATTTTCTGACCCGTGGCGGGCTGATTGAGTCCGTAATAGCTAACGGGCCTATCTACACTGACATTGGCCATAATTAATATCTATCAATGTAAATTTGTAGCAATCTACTCCGTACATGTAATGTACATGTACATTACATACATATTATACTCGAACACACCAACGACCTCGGGATATGATCTCTACGCCACATCAACAACCCCGCCGAATTCTGTGCTGAAGCTTCGTTATATTTCAATGCGAACTACCGCTTTCAAAACCGACGACGGGCCGTGCCGCTCTTGAGATTTTGACTACATTCTTCTCGTCGTCAGTGGTGAGAAAGCGCGAAAGGAGGTGGATGTAGTAGCGGTGTGTGTCTCGTTTATCTGTATCACGCAAGCAAAGGGGCTTGGGAATATCACCACATTTGAGACTCAAATAAATGTTGCATATTTACATGTACTGTACATGTACTGTGCATGCACATCTATCGGCGAGTGCAAAATACAATGTTGATTTGGGCTTTGAGAAGGCGTTGAGGAGGCGTGATCGAAGCCCAATCGTCCAGGGTACCCAGTGTCACAAAAACGGCGTGTACAAGGGAGGAAACGTTGCAATTTAAATGATCGTTGTTTGAAGCTCCTTACTTTACCATATTGGCTTGTCTTGGAACAAGGGAAGCGCTTAATACCAAATGTGAATCTACGGTACTTGTGTACAGTACTAGTAATTAGATAGAGAGCTGAAGACGACTTGATTATATCTTTGAACGAGTAATACGTCCCCAGAGAAGTACATACATGCACAAGTTACCAAGTTGGGGGTATTTTCAGTCTTGAATAGCAACAATGTCCCGAAATATAAGTGGTAAGGCACCGATACAAAAGTAAGGTACAAAAGTAGGGAACAGGAGTTACACACTGGGGAAACAGGGATTGGGATATTACGCAGTGAAAAGGAAAATATGATTGCGCCCTAGTTTGCCAGGTGAAGCGGAGAGGCAGAGCAAGCAAGGAGATTTCATGTCATGCAGAAACTGAGGGTATTCGAAGGATGTTAATCTGCAGTGGATGTTCCTAATTCTCGAAAAGAATATTTCACTCCTAAGATTCGTGAATACATGTTGCTAGAAAGACTGGACGGAAGGCGGGCTTGCACGGGACGGGGGACTTGGAAAAAGCCATTAGGAACATCTATGTCTGGAATCCTACAGCCGATTCGGGCTCCACGTTCGTAGAATCTCAATGCCAAAAGTTGATAACCGATCGATAAGGGAAAGCATCATGGAAAGACCGAAAATCCGAAGCATAAAGGCCCGGAGTAGATAGCGCCGAGGCAAGTTTTGATGCTTAGAGCTTTAATGTGCTAAATTTTTAATTTTATCAATCAAATGGCCTTTTGTTCCCGGACAAGTCTAGGGGAAGGGGCGGTAGTAGGTTACCTTGGGGAGCCGCCGTGATCTTCGCATTTCCCAGGTGCTTTTCTTGTTTTGTCGATCAACTTCTGTCCTTCGCCTTCCTTGGCCGTCCCTTCTTTTGCTTTACACTCTGGGCACACTACCACGCCAACGCGCAATACGCACCCGCACGTGTACTCGTACCACCATTGAGTGCAAGTGCACATGGCTGCTGAGGTATGTTTGATCTGTTTGATCGTAGGTTCGAGAGTTGGATGGTGATATCCAGGATGGTCTTGCGTATACTCTAGGTAAGGAAATGGATAGGGTGATGGATGTTTTTTTAAAAAAAACTTAAGAAGTCGCGGGTCAAGTGGTGTTTAAATATGTAGGAATCTCCTTACTTTAAGACCCTTTTTGGATTCCGCTCTGACAAGCATGATGCTGACCTGTGCAGTTCAAAAGTCCAACAGGTACCAAAGTCTGGAATAGGATATCGCAGGGTAAAGAGCGTAAGCTAACACTCCTTCTCAGAAAGACTGGTGGCATGCACTCCCTGCTGGGATTCCAGGACAAACGAAGATTTTAGGTACGAAATAACTGTAGAATTGTTGGTGGTGAAGTTCGAGATTTCCAAGTATGAACAACGGCACAGCTGAAGTAACGTTCTGCAGGGATAGAGATTGTTTTAGACTAACTCGGAGCAACTTGCAAGACACAAGTCGCACATAAACGGCAGCACCTATCAAAGGGTCTCTTAAGCTTCAGGGCATAAAAGAAAAACTGAGGATTTTTTTTTCGCCCAATAGAAAGGCCGCACTACCACTGCATCCGGAAATGGTGCCACAGCGAAAATTGGCACATCCGCGGTGGTCGCGGTGGGCCACAAGGGCCTTGGAAGATGAGAGCCATTTGGCCAGTGAGGGCAAATAAAGTTATTGGAATTGTCGGCCAAGAAAGAGTCTTTCATTGGACATCAAGAAAGCGACATAACTTGTAGATATGAAGTACATTGCTCGCAATGTCAAAATCTCAGATAGTATGGCTATCTGTGAAACATTGCACTAGTGAGAAGAAACGTGCTCGTCTTTGACTATACCCGTCATTTCGAGGATTCCCGAAGCATGGGGTGTATGCTGCTTCAGCATATCCTAAATTGGGCACCGGCCGTTGTTCATGGTCATCGTATTCTCCCAATTGGTAGCAGTTTGGTGGCTTCAGAGTCCCTCCCCCGCAGACCAACAACAAGCAATCGACATTATTCAAAAAAAGATGCTTAAGACGAGTGTGATTCAGTTGCAGAGAACTCGGCCGTGGGCCATAGCTCGCTAGCTCCTTTGAAATGAAAGGATGCAGAGGCGGCTACGCCAGGCAAAATCAGGACAGCACTTTGTGAATCGATCTGACACCCTAACCTGCAACTTTAGAGGCGAGGATTAGAGTGGGAGCAATTCAGAATGGTAGAAGAACCGAGATACGATGATTAGCTCCTGTGCCACCAACGACGAATGAAACAGTAAAGATGATAAATTGTGGAGGTTAAGGGCCGCAAACACTCAAATTCCTTGTGGTGGGGTTGGGCCATAAAGATTGCTAGGCGCAGGCCATTCAGGAACAGGCGCCTGTCAAAATATCGTTTCACCCTTCGCCAAGGACCAGGCCAACGAAGATCAGGATTTTCTGAAGCCTTACAACTCTATTGATGATCCGCTGCAGCTCAGAAGCTGGCTGTAGCCTGTGCCTTTTTTCGTAGTGTGTATGACGAGGCCATGGGGTCGAATAAATAGTTTGCTGCTTGGCCCCCAACCCGGGTTGGATTGGACATTCTACCGCCGTAGGTGGCGGCGCTTCGAAAACAAAACAATTTGCTGGGGAATGAGAAGAAACTTCCAATGCTGTGCCCGTAAACAAAAGGTATGGCATGGCAAAAGAACAGAGAATTCTTCTATTTGTTAGCTAGGGTCGTGAAAGTAAATTTCGAAAGGTGCTTGTCATTAGTCTGGCCTGAGAAATCACAAGACAGTTGGTTGACAAAAGTAAACCGAATCCCCATATTCCTTTGATCGATTTTGACATCACCTTCTGCTCTCTTACCAAGAATATCCTATGGGTGAGCACGGGAAATCGACGCCACAAGCTGTATGTCGTAAATAAGGCCGCAGTGGGCTGGCGGGAAGGGCAGTGTAAGTGGACATAGGGTGTCGCTTTCAAAACGTATGAAGGGCCCTTCAAAAGAGTAGATCTCTGCAAGACGCACAAAGCTATAGAAAGTTACGGAGTAGATGTCAAAGCAACAGTGTCAACAGTGTCAACCGTGTCAACTTAGCGTAATGATATGTTGAACAATGCCAGACCAGACCGCAGACGTTGTCGTCGAGATAAACTGTTGCCTGAGGCTGAAATTGTCAGAAACGGGAATCAGGTGATTCGTCCATCGCCCCCACATCGATAACTATTAAATAATAGTCTGATTCTTCGCTTCCACCAACTCGCCAGAAGCAAGCAACAATAATGTCCTGCACAACAACTCTCATATCCGCTGTCGATCAGTGCCTGTCTAGTCGGCATCTGCAATTGCCGAACAATAGTCTTGCGCCTCAAATCGCGATTATCAATCTCTTGACGATGCATCAGCAAGTCCAATCGCCCCTACTGCTTGCGCGCTGAATTCGGGGTTCAGGCCCGGTAAATAGGAATTGCGCAACAGAACATCCCTTCTTAAGAGCCGTACATGTAGTAATGTACATACAAAGGACGCCAGACTCTGACTGCAGCCAAAATCGGGAGGGAATTCGAACCAAAAGACCCTCTGTCCCTCCTGACGGATCGCCAGCCAGGCATGTTTGCCTCTACCGCCACGAAACCACCTTGGAGACCAATGGTTGTCAGAAGGGGCGTGTTCCTTCTTGTGCTTACGCTACATAGTATAATAACTCGTCTTCGATATCAGCTTCTGCTGTCAAGTCTCAAACTTAGCATTTCAGGGTTGAGCATCCGAGGTTCACCAACTCTGGCAACCTTGGTGGACCCTTGGCACATGTCGTCACCTGGTTCGGTTGTACACGGCCTGGTGCGTCATTATTAGTTCTCGTGGGTCAAGCAAACTCCACGTATCAGTATAGTTATATATTATTTAATCCAACTGGGAAGGACAAGAACAGAAAAACTTACAGGAACCTTCTCGAGTCAGCCCCGATACTCGCCGTTACGGCGTTTTTTAGCTCCACGGCACGTGTTACGTCGGCGGTAGGGTAGAGGGACGAAGATGAGGGGCCCCAGTCCCTGCGGATCCTGCCTAATATCACGGAGTATGGAATCTCGGGTTGTCTCCAGGGGTACCTACCTATATAAGGCCCCTCTGGCTCCCGCAAAACGAAACCCCCTTGATCATGTTTTATAAATCCTTCTCATCAGGTTCAAAAGGGTGTCTACGTGGAATCCATTCCAAATCCATCTCTTTTTTTTAAAAAAAAAAGAAAGGAAAAGAAAAACTCTTATATTTGAGCCGTCCTCCAAGGTACTTCTATAATCTTGATACCTTGATCCTTTACTATATAACATTCCTACCACGGCGTCCTTGATACCAACGCTCTCCGAATTAACCCACCAAACAGCACGAAAACACTTACCCTTTGCTTCAAGTCTACTACCATACCTCGCAGAAACACAAAATCTCCTCTCATCATGTATTCCTACACCGAAACCCAGAAATTCCTCATCCTCGTCCCACAAGAGGAATCACCTATGGCACAATCCCGGGGAGTCAATTCGACAACGCCTACTCCCCTCAGCTCTCAAATTCCCTCGTTTGCCAATGAAATCTCGGCCACCCCCGTACCACAAAAAATAACCCGTTCCCCGAGTGCCAGCTCGACCGCATCGACTGACATCAGAAGCGGCTTTCTCAGGTTAGGAGTTTAAAACGCCTTCACCTCGAGCGTCATTCAGCTTAGATATTCCATCGTGGACCGTGTTTTCTCTCCTATGCCTTGGACTCTGTTCTCGACAACGTACTGGAAGAGACGTTTGACTTGCCTCTTGTAACAGCCAAATGGATGAAGAGCTCACCGCTGATGGTCACCTTGGATGAAGAGCTCACCGCTGATAGTCACCTTGGCTTCTCTCTATATCTTTTTTCCTTTTTTCCCTTGTTCCTATTTCCTTTAATTCATGTTCACTCTTCTGTCGTTACTCTTGAGCTGGAGGGGTGAAGCCTGGCAAATTTTTCGTTGACAGTGGGACCACCTCTGAGTTCTGATATTTCCAGGCGACTCAGAATATTATAGCTCTACAATTCAAGAAATCAAAATAAGGAGATGACTGCCCCTCATCCATCTTCTTTCGTTTTACTTCTGTTTTCTTTCTGCTTCCTTTAGTCTATGTAGGAGGCATGAAATCACATTCATTTACTAATTAATGCGTGCCAAACTGTTTGTCTTTAATATTCTTACCTGGGACGTTGGTCTCAGCATAATTCGTCCCGCTTCCCCCAGATCTGCCAAGAATCGCCCAGACGGTCAAGAAGCAAACAAGATCTACATTCAGATATTCAACGTTAGAACCGTAATTCAACGACCAAAAATTTCCCCAATAATCAATAGTGAAGCCGGTTAACGAAAAGAAAATTTCAAATCGAAAGAAATACAAACTACGCCGAAATATTATTACTTCGGCCAACAGAATAACCCCGCCGCGCACTGCCAAATTGCCTATCGGCCTATTGATTGGTCTTTGGGCGAAGGGGGAAGAACTAAGGAAAACCTTGCACCGCGGGTGATATGCCCCACCTATGCGGTGATGGGACAAACTTCCGAGCCAGCTTCTTCCTTTTCTTAATCTTTTTTTTCTTTTTCTTTTTCTTTTTGGCAAATGGGAGCCTGGTTATTTCGCCATTTTTCTCTGGTAACTACGCATAGCCGGGGTATTTTTCTTACTTGCTCCATCATGCCCCCACAGGTTGGAGAGCATCCATTCGTGGAGAATTTTTTATTTGGTTTTTATTTACTTAGTTTTATTTTCTTTCAATTTACGTTTTAGTCCTACCATTTCTTCCCCTTTCAAGGCTTGCTATGCCGAAGATGAATGAGATGCCGGCCTGAGCAGAATTGAACTTGAATGAACGGATCAGCCGAGGAGCTAATCACCATGCGAGCCTGCAGCACATTCCAGCCTGGACGGCTTCTATACAGTATGTGTCTGGCTCCGGCCTCTGTGTGCGAAAATAACACAGCTGCAGCTCGCTTTCCATGCCCGAACAGCAGCGCATTTTATTGAAGCTGATTTGTGCGTGGCAGCGGGTTCAGGGGCGAGAAGCAGGACGCGGGGGCCAAAATGGCCAAAATGGGTAACTCTGGACTTCATTGTAGGCTGCGGGGATGGGGCTAGCCTCGAGCTGTGTGATCCCATGAGTTGCTGCTGTCTTATTTATCAGATCCTTCTCCGAAGTCAAACCAGCAAAGTTCTAGATAAAAATAGATGGCTAGAAGGGGACCTAGGGACAGCCACGCAATCGTTGGCATGGAAGATGTATCACAAGATGAGGAAAAAATAATAAAAAGAAGGGCTAGCTGTTTCAATTGCGCCTAGTTAGGTCTGGACGGAGCATGATTGTGTACTCCGTTTTTCCGCATTATTGTTGTTGTCGAGTGAGTGACGCACTTGGACTTCGAGCTCCCTTGGCTTTGGCGTTTCTGGGACACAAAACTGTAACTTCTGTAACGCATAAAGAATCCCCCTCCTACTATGGAGTACAAGTTCACTCACGCCAGACGTGCTGTTGTGTTGTGCCTGTCCTCCCCCCGTCCCGTCCTCCCTCGTTGCCCCGTTCCGCTATCGATTCAATAATCCCTCCTGCTGAAACATCACCCTTCGATTCTTTGTTCTTGCGAAGAGAACGGAGTACACTCAACGTTCACCCATAGCCTATAGATAGGCAGTGCGTCGCGGGTACACACATTCAGTTGCCTTGGCAGTTAGTTAGCTTGAGGCCATATTCTGGTAGCCCGCATCGACCTGCCTGCTCGAAATGCCGCCGTGATTGTGACTAGGAGAGGGGGGGAAAGCGGAAGCGGAAGCGGACGAGCAGAGGAGAATGTGTATCTGCATTCCTGCAGTAGTTGTATCGCATCTTGGCGCTTCATTGGATACGTAGACGGCGGAGGTCCGATTGGCCAGGAAGGCTTCGTTCTGTCCAGTACAACACAGCTGTCTGTCCCTCATGCTGCGCTGCGTTCGTTGCGAAATGTATTGTTATTGCTTGGGTTAGTATCCTTTGCGTCGTGCTAGGCAGTCGATATCTAATTCGAAAAGCGGTGATGATGGGTGGTAGGAGTGACATTGGTAGCTGCTTGCTCCCTTGATGTGTTCTTGTTCTGCCGCATGGGAGCATTCGACCTCAGGACAGTTGACTATATCTGAAGGCAAACCCATAAAGGAGAGAGATATAGAGCCAAAAAATGGCTCTGTCGTGCTGAAGCTCATAATCATATATCACACGGGACTTCTAACGTCCAGCCATATTTTCTAACCATATGCATGTCTAAATGAATATCCATTTTTGAAAGGAAAAAACTAAAAGAAAATATATATAAAAAAAATTGGTCTCAAATGTTCAAAAGAGATAACTCACAGCTAGATAGCAGCTAGATAGAGCTTACCATTTGGCACACTAAAAGCAAAATCAGCGCGACATGTATTAAAAAAAGCCTCTTGTTAATACGGCTCAACTTCCCGTAGTTATGGAAAAAAATGAGAAATAGATACAAATGCAAAACTAACAGAGCTATAATAATCAATTGTCTTTCAAGAGTGAATACAAATATGTATTCTGTACCGCAACAAGTGACAGATGAATATAACCTTGGAAGCTATAACCAACACCCTGCCATCGGACATATGAGATGATTAAGGATCTCAAGTAGCCAAGTATAAATATAAATAAACTATACAAGTAAAAACTAACAAGTAAAAAATAAAAATGAAGGGAGAAAAAGAAGAGCCTATTTTAAAATATGAATGACAGGGAGTTTAGTTAAACATGGATAAAAATAATAGTTAATAATAATACTAATAACAGTATGCGGGGAAAAAAAGAGAGCGGAAAAAAGCATGTCCATAGCTATATTACTCAATATTTAAAGAAGACAACCATGAGAAAAAAGAAAGAAAGGACCTGTTTAAAAAGACACGCGCGCGCGTATGTCAGGAGTTACAAAGGAAAAATATATATAGGTAGATCACATGCCGGAAAGAGTAAAAGTGATTTTCAATTCAATCAATATAAGAGAGAGAGAGAGAGAGGGAAGAGAGAGGAGAGAGTGAGAAAAAAAAAGTACGGCGAGTCAATTTATTGACCGGGTTTAAATAACTTGAGGTTTAAAGGTGTTGTATCATGTATGAGAGAAATGAAAACCCCACAAGATGTTAGCAATTTGACAGAAGAAAAATAAAGAAAGAACCATGCAGAAAAAAGACCTTTGTTTGATTTATCCAGATATTCAGATGAATGTGAAAATGAAAAGAGAAACAGCAGAACATATAATAGCATTCACAAAGGAAAATAAAAGTAATGAATTTTAACGAAAACGTGCAAGAAAAAAAGTAGTGAAGAAACTAGAAGCTAACTAATAAAAACAGAGGCACAATGGATATTTATTGACACAAAATTAAAAAGAGAAACAGAAGAATGAATCCAGATATGATAATAGAAGACAGGAAAGAAAAGAAACGAAAAAGAAAAAGAAATAAATAATAAATACTAAAGCATGAAAAAGAAAAGACCAGAGAGGAAAACAAGAGGGGGAACAGTGTGATAGGAGGACACAGCAGATGAAAAAGACATGGCAGAGAAGAGCGGACCTAGACAAAAGAAAAAAGGATAAAAACAAAGGAACAAAAGAAAACTCGAGAGGGAATTTGTTTTTCGTTTCGCCAAAACAAGTTCAAGCGTGCAAGTTATCAGGCTCAAGCGGAAGAGGGAGATCAATCAATCAATGGCGGAGAGAATATCGGTTTTCCCAGTCGAAATGGACAAAGAAATATAAAAAAACATACAGAAACGAAAAAAAAAAAGACGAACGAGACACGCCCAAGGGGGAATAAAATTCATATAAGAGAAGAAAACTCAAAATTTTCGAATTCGAAAAAGGACACACATATAATGGGAAAAGGGGTAAATGTGATATGGTGGTACAAGCGTCGAGGGGGGCTGATTCGGCGTCATGAAGTCGAGAGAGCCTTGCTTTGAAGGGGCTCTTTTTTCTCGCTGTAACTGTCTACCCCCCCCCCCCCCCGAAATAGGATTTAAACGTCTGTGTGTGAGTATATGCAAAATGGACGAAATTAATCGGGGAGGATTGGATGTTGGTTGTTCTTGCGGGGCGGGGCATATAAAACCTCCCTCTGTCCTCCTGCTAGCTTCCAACCATTCACCAAATTTTTTTTTTTGGCGCCCTTAATCCTCCCCAGTAAAAAATAAATACCAATCCACAAAAAATCTTTCTTTTTCTTTATCTCTGCGTCACTTCTCCCTTTTCCCTGCTGCTGAAAACCTGCGTGTGTGGCATGTGATTTCCCTAAGCTGACGATTGCAAGCTCAAGTACCAATTTCTTACTGATGATCACCAGCGCGGTACTTGCCCCGTCGCCTAAAAAAGTCCATAACCCTCCTTGCAGCCCCAGAGCTGCCAGAATGATTTGACGGATCTTTCTCGTGCTCATATGCATCCGCGAACCTGCGATGGTTCTTCTGTAGTACATTGGATCCCCTCCCAGACTGGTGGCTAGGCTGTATCGATTGCCGCGAGTCGTTACCATTGCCATGGCCCGGATTATATCCTTCCGGATAACTTGGCATAAACTGTTCCGTGTAACTGGAACTCTGTGGCTCGGACAAGTATCTCGCCGAAGAAGAGTTGGCACGGGGGTCCTCTTGGTAATATTGCTCAGCGGCAATGTGAGGTGATCCATAAGGGTTGCTTTCGTACTGGGGTTCCGAGTCGCCATGCAGGGCGGCAAACTGCTGATCGATTTGAGCAGAGTAATTCATCATATTCAATTGGTCATTGGTGTTGCCAAATCCTTGTTCGTCTTGGGTGTGGTCAGCGGCTCGTGGATGATGAGATTGCGAGGAAGCATTGGCAGTTGATAGAGACTGCGATTGCTGTTGCTGCTGATGTCCTCGACTCTCTGGAGCGTGAACAGAATCATTAACCTGGGCGATGTGGGAGTCAGCAGTAGGAGGCGTTTCTTTGCTGGATGAGAACGCTTTCAAAGAAAACGACGCAGGCAAGAGAGAGAATCTTCGTGGCTTGGCACTATGCTCTTGGCTGGAATCAACGTGTCTCCGATGAAAAGAGTGTGAAATCGATCGACGCGAGTCCATTGATGCTCGTGGTTCATCCGAGACAATAGGTTCCTTCATACTCGTTGGAGGATAGCGTTTACTTGATCGTTGACCATGCTGAGATGATCGTCCACCGAATATGGAGCCAGATCGCCCGAACAACTTCTCTCCAATGCTACTCACAGTGCTAGAACGCTTGTGGCTCTTGGTTTGTGCTTGCTGCTGGACAGCACTGTAATCCTGATTTGTGCTCGGGCGACCAACTGAACTCTCTGTAGTTTGTTGAGCGATCGGCGGAGAAACACTGTAAGTTTTACCATTTTTTGGTTGGGCCAGTCGTCCCTGCACATTGGTTGTTGCAACCGCGGGAGCTGCAGGTTGGCTATATGAACCTCGAGACGGCAGACGGCTGTCATATTTGCCAGCACCTGTAGAAGCCAGGGACCCGCCAGTTTGAGGCCGGGTCGTTTGGGATAAAGTACCTTGAATACCAGAGTATGTACCAGTTAGGTCTGAGATCGATTGGGCTAGGTTTCCAGAATGTGATTGTGGCCTACCTTGAAGGCGGTCCGTTGTGTTATAGCTTGTAGGATGGGTGTTTACAGGCGGATCCCTCGGTAATGGTTTAGACCTCGAAGTTATCGTAGCCTTAGCGGGGGCAGCAGCCCCTGCACTCGAAGGAGGTTCTCGACCACTAGACATTGGTCGCCCTTGAGATAATCCTGCATGACCGGACGTTGGACCCAAAGACGAAGAGGCGGTGGTTGAGTCACCACGAGCAGTTTGAGACTGAGGTGGCACATATTCAACTTGGACTGTTCTCCTTTTCGCGTCTCTTGGCTTTTGCTTTTCATCATCCTGTGATATTTTGCCTGGCTGGTGGCTGAGACCTCCCACTGGAGACACGTTGCTCTGATGCTGGGCTTTGGGAGGTTCTCTAACAGAAGCGCTACGAGCAAGGGATGGTGTTTGTTGTTGGTCTTCTGTAGAACCGTTTAGCAGTCGTATTATCAAGGGAATGAAGAGAGAGTGGGCTTCAAAGTTTTGGGAGTATATTTTCTTTCCGCGATCTAAAAAGTAAGGACTTACCGGCCGGAACAGTGGTGTTCGCGATATCAGCCACATTAGTGGTATTACTCGTAATGTGCGATACTACATGTGCATACTCCGCAAGCCAGCTATGTCGCGCAACTTCGAAGAGGTCGGCCCGTTTTCGCGGATCCGGGACAAGAATGCACCGTAGCAAATCCCGCGCATGTGGTGTGACGTACTCGGGGAAAGTGAGAGGTGTGGTTACAATGTATTTGTAAAGAAGGTTTATGTTATCGCCCTCTGGGTTCGCAGGATCATCATCAAAGGGGAGATAGCCAGCAAGCATAGCGTACTAGAACAAAAAATCAATGTTAGTTAAAAAAAGAAATTGGGACAAAAACGAAAAGCCTCGACCAAACATACCAGAATAACCCCACAACTCCAAACGTCAACTTTACGCCCAGTGTATAATGAATCGGTAACGACTAGCTCTGGAGCTGCATAACACGGACTGCCACAGCTAGTTTGCATAAGGTCACCACGTCTTAAACCCTTTGCGTTAGGCCGGTCTAGTTTCATTCTCTTCACGAATTCTCTGTTCGTCAGGTTATATTCGATTTCATCGCCCAATTCATCGGTAGGGTCGAACGTGTTTGCGAAACCAAAGTCTGTGATGATGATATTGCGGTTTCGATCGAGCATCAAATTCTCCAGTTTGAGATCCCGGTGGACAATCCCTTTCTTATGCAAATAGCCTACGCCAGAAACCAGTTGGGCAAATAAGCGGCGAGCAGGGTTATCTTTTAGATACCGGTGGTTAAGGATGTAGTCGAACAATTCACCTCCGGATGCGTACTCTAAAACAATGCCAATATGTCGATCGGTCTCGGCCATCTCGTGCAGTCGGACAATATTTGGATGTGAAAGCTCTTTTAGGATTGAGATTTCGCGATATATTTTCGGGAGGCGGCTGGGGTTGTTTCCAAGGCTGTCCCTTCTGAGCAATTTGATTGCGACTTGCACGCTGCCGTCCCTCTTCCAACCAAGTCTAACTTTCCCAAACTCACCCTCGCCAATGGTTTGACCAAGAACATAGTCGCCAAAAGTAGTTTCTTTTCGCCTCGACGAGGAATTTGAATAATCGTGTCGGCTTCTAGCACCACGGCCTCCATCGTCGACACCCTCACTGCTTACAAGGCCCAGCCCTGACAGGGAATCTGGGGCAGGTTGGGCTTCCGCTAGGCGTTCTTTTTCTCGTACGATATCGACTTCGGGATCTGTTATTACCATCCGATTAATTACCGTGCTTCCCTGTTTCTCAATGCCAGCGGGAATCGGAGTTGGTCCCATTGCGGCCTCAGATCGGGTCTCCATTGCGGAAGGTGAGGCGTGGTCTCTTGGTTCCCGCGTACTTGCAGCTCGTTGTGGGCCGTCAGGCGAGTGCGGGCCTTTTCGACGCTTAGCAGCGCCTGATGGGGTATCATCATTCGGCATGTCCCTGCCGTTTGTGTCATGGGTGTGATCCCGGTCCCCACGATCTCGTGTACCATCTCCCCTCCTCCTAGAATGTTTGGGATTCGCTACTCGTTCAGTGGAGGCATTGGCGGATGGAGCAGTTGACGAAGTGCGACTTCGTTGATTTGACGATGTGCGGGGAGGGGGGATCGGGGGAGAACCAGGGCCATCAGATAGAGTGGGCGTCGGGCGCGGGCGCGTATTACTGCTGGACCCTTGGCCTGTAGATGGAGTAACAGGGGAACCATGGGTGGAGGGAGGTAGTGGAAGATGCTGTGGAGAATTCATTGTCGAAGTGACGGCAGAGGTAGGGGAGTAGAATTGGTCAGGGCTAACAGGAGAGTTGCGTGCGGCAGCATGATCAGTCCTGTGCCGGCTTGACTGGCGTGGTCCAACTGGTGTTTGGTGAATTGGATGTCTCGGAGATCCCGTTGATGCATACTGACTGGGAGACTGAGTGGTGCTATGCTGGGAGACTGTCTGCATAGCAGACGACATGCCTTCCCTCGGAAAATGAAACAGCAAGAGGGTGAACAGTGGTGATTTAGATCTTCCGTATTCCAGAAGTTAATTACCACTTTCACAACCAATTGCCTTTTTATTTTCGAAGGAAACGGATGCGTGCCTTTGCTTCAAGCAATTGACATTTGCCTACACAGACACCCGAAAACCCAATATTTGTTTACCCACGTTTATAGAGTATAGTTGCTAGTTGTCCAAATCATCAGTAAAAGATTGTAAGACGCAACAGTTGTTTTCTCAACGCGTCCCGTGAGAGTGATTATTTGAGACGATTCACAATTGGTAGATGTGAACCGGCCAGTGCGTTGTGTTGCTCGTTGTAGTTTGTTGTTTAGTTTGGCGTGTGAACGCGGAAGTCCAATTGCACGCTGGGTGGAAATCCGGATTCGACTGGAGCGTGGTTCAGTTGAAAAGCGTGGACAACACTTCGAGGGAACAACAACAACAACACAAGGAAAACTAGGAAAAAAAGAAAAGAGAACAAAAGTGAAATCGACCGGCAACGCGTTTGGGTGGTTCTGTTAGACCAGCAACAGATGCCTCAGCAGCAGAAACAGCGAGAAATTGAGACAACAAGAGAGTTGTTTGCTGCTTGCGTGGGTGGTGGACCGTGGCCAAACGTGCCTTCCGCTGCTGTATCTAGGAGCACCAAGACAACCCGATGGTTATTTTTGTTTATTTTCCACCTCCGTTACGTTAACACCCACAGATCAGAGCACTGTATGATCGTAAA